CCAAAAGAAATGAAAACATATGTCCACACCAAAACTTGTACACTAAAGTTCAAAGCAGCGCTAGTCAAAATAACCAGAAAGTAGAAACAACCCAAATGTCCATCAACTAATGAATAAATAAAATGTGATATATCCATATGATGGAAAATTATTCAGCAATAAAAAGAAATGAATTACTGATACATGGTACAGCATAGATGAACACTGTAAAGTGCTGAGGGAAAGACCATGTGGTGCATGATTTCATTTATATGAAATGTCCGGAACAGGTAAAGCTATAGAGACGGAAAGTTGATCAGTGGTTGCCTTGAGCTGGGGGCACTGAGGGAAGTGGAGAGTAACTGCTAATGTGGACAGAGTTTCTTTTGGGGGTGATGAAAATGTTCTCAAATTAGATAGCGGTGATGGTTGCACAGTCCCGTGTATATACTAAAACCCACTAAGTTGTACATTTTAGAAGGATGGGTTTTATGGTATGTGAATTATATCTCAATAAAGCTCTTACTAAAGAAGAAGAAGAGGAGGAGAGGAGAAGGGACAGCAGCAACAGCGGTAACTGAATGTGAACAAAAGAATCAGACACTTCATAATGGAAGCTGACTAATGGTTAAAAACTCTACCTAGAAACAAAGCTTTGCATTTTCTTTTTTCTCTGTGACTGATAAGTCATGTCCTTATAACAATAGTCTTTTATTTGTTTTTCCCTAACAATAACTATTAATATTACGTTTATTAGTTAAAAAAAATCAGAAAGCAAAGACAATTAAAAGTATCATTCCATCCACCCAGAAACAATCATCATTAAACAGTTCTTGTGACTACTTCCAGCCCCTTTCCTTTCCTCTTCTACTTGCAGGTTTTTTAAGTGCTCAAAAGTATATATTTTAAACACGAACACCATCATGCTATGCAAATTTCAGGTGTGTTTTTTTCTCTTAAACTAGATCCTGGGTGCCTTTCTTATAAATCAGTCTTATTTTTAAGAAGTTGCTGAAGAGTTTTCTTTAGTATGGATTTACCATAACTTATAGGAAATGATGCAAATTTACATTGCTTTTTATAATTATGTAGACAGCACATATACCTTTGTGCACTTTTACGATTATTTCCTAAATGTTAATTCTTAGTAGTGAAATGATGTGGTAAATTTCTTCGTACTTTTACATTTTTATGTATATTGTCATATGGGCCTGAAAAACCTTAGTAGTAATTCAAAATCCATTAAGAACATATGAGTAAATATTCTCTGTATTAGGGCCAATGGCAGATATTAAAACTTTAAAAACTATCGGTGGAGGCCTCTTGAAAAGAGGTCACCCTTATTTTGATTGAAAAACCTGGTTCAATTTTCCTACCTTCAGGCACAGTTGAATTCAGCTCTCCCAGACATGACACAATGAAAAGTGCAAAAAGGATGACCCTTCTCATAGCCTCCATCTTTGCGAGGGGCGGGGCAGCCTAAACTGCTAGCAGGCTTTATACTTCTCTGTGTTTCATAACTATCTGGTTTCATAAGCTCCCTGGTGACCTCCAGGGAAATGTGTCAGCTTGACCGTGCAAGGGGGAGATTTCTGTGAGAATAAAGCAGCTGCGTGACTGGTTTATTATCAGCAATTCCTAACAGTGAGTGTTGGCTCTCCTCAACTGATTCCCGGAAGGTTTGCAGAGAGTACCCAGCTAAAGCTCCTCACAGGGGATGTCCAACACCTGGCACATGGTAAGTAATTCCTTGTGGCACTCACTTGGAGTTGTGCCTTTGCCCTGGTATTTACTCAGATCACGAAGGGGGTAGCATCATTGACATCTTAAGCCTTCACTGGTCTTCTCCAAAAACTAAAGCCTTTGGGGAAAGTAGCAGCTGGGGGGTGGGAGGCACCTGGGCAAACTCTGGGTCCAGCTAGGTCACTCTGATGCCTGCCGAGGCGCTGACACTGAGGGAGAGGAGGAGGGATCACAGGATGGGGAAGAAAAAGAAAGTGCAGATCCAGGTCTAGTTGCCAGGAATTTCAAACCATTGTCCCGAGACCCTGAAGCAGGTAAACTAAAGCGCCTCAGGCACTATGTTTTACGATGAGAGAAAAGAATCCTTGCGTCCAAGGTGAGACCAGTGCTGCAGTGGCAAGGCCAGCACCTGTGACATTAGGAAGGTGTACTCACAAGGAGCTTGTATGTGGGGCTGCCCTCTTTTCACTCACTCATTCATTCAACAAATATTCATTAGCTACCCTTCTAGGCCCTGATATACAGACTTGAACATGAGAAGCACAGCCCCTGCCCTTGTGGAACTTGTCCTCTAAGTGGGGAAAACAGACAACAAACAAAGAAAAATAAGTTACAGATAGCAGAGGTGCTATAAATAGAATAAAACAGGGTGACGGGGTAAAGAGTGACTGCTTTGGAAGGGAAGCAATACTAGGGTGGGAAGAAAGACATCTTGAGGAAATTTGAGCAAAGAAAGAAAGAGAGAGACATTCGTGTGAGATCTGGGCTTGGGGCATGCATTGTAGGCAAAAGAACAGGCAAATGCAAAGGCCTTGAGGCAGGAACCAGCTAGGTATGTCTGCAAAATAAGGCAAGGCAGGCCAGTGTGGTGGATGTGAGCAAAGGAGACGGAGGTAGGAAGTGAGGATGGAAAAGAGAGGCAGGTAATGGTCAAATGGTGAAGGACCTGTAGGCCAGATGAGGAGTTTAGATTTTATTCTAAGTTCAGTCGGAACTTTCTGAGCAGGAAAATGATGACTGATTTTTAATGAATCTTCCCAGCAGCTCTGTAGAGGTAAAGGTAGGTGTAGACTGGACCTTCTAGATTGAAACCCTTCCTGGTTGCCCTCAACCCTTTTATGTTATTCTCACTATCCTACAGTCCAGAAAACCTTACTTGGCTCTCAGACATCAGGGTTCCTGGGGAGGGCACAATACCAGACTGTGACCCAGGGGAACATATTCCTAGTTAGGTCCCTGAACCAGGTATTTGGCCTCATGCCAGTGCTGCAGTAACAAGGCCAGCACCTGTGACATCTGGAAGTTGTGCTCACAAGGAGCTTGGACACTCACCAAGGTACCTGGCACAGCTTTACACAGTTCCCGTAAGCTCGGGGACTTCTGGGGCTTGCTGTGTACCAGGCGGGGACTGGATGTCCTAGTGTAAGTGTGAGCAGGGGGCATGCATATGTGGTGGGGACCCTTCTGATTACTAAGGGTCATGCTCAGCTGTGTCCACAGATTCCGCACTCCTCCCTCAACCCTGGGCTTTCTTACTGTACCCCTCTTTCTCTCCTACAGGCATATCTCCCAGCTCCCTGAACCATCACCACTGAGTATGAGAGCTTTGTGGTCACTTCTCTGGGAGGGGGACTAGCAGAGGGGAGAGAACCCTGGGTTAGCCGTCAGGAGACAAACGTGGTTCAGGCCACTGGCAATTTACCAAGAGATCACGGGGTTCTAGGGCCTGGAGGGCGGCATACCTGATCTTACTGAATCCTCACTGTCACTATGCAAGCTAGCACATAGCTAGTGAAAGGTAGAGTTGGATTTGAACCAAGTCTATCTGCCTCTAAAGCACCATGTTACACTCTGTCTCCACTGCCCACCACAGGGGTGTCTCAAAGAGCCCTTGCCCCATCCTGCCTCCCGCACGGACCCTGCAATGCCGGGAAGTCAGGCGTATGCCCCACGTATGCATCGTGCTTGTGCAGGGTCTCAGGTAGCTGGGCACTGTGCCGTCCACTAAGTGGAGTTCAGATGCGTTTGGATGTGCTCTGTCTGACATGGAGCTTGCTGGTGGCAAGAGAAAATCCAAGCACACGTGAACGCCTAAAACAAAGCCAGAGCTGTAGATGCGAGGAGAGGGAGAAACTGCTCCAGGAACTCAAGAAGGATAGGTCACATCCAGCTCGAAGATCTCAGGGCAGGCTCTAGGGAAGATGCATTGAATTTGCCTCCTAAAACTTTACTGGGGCTGGGAGCACTCAGCCTCCAGGGATTTTCTCGGCCATTCCAAGGGCTGCTCTGTGAGAGCAGCTCCAGTTCCCACACCTTCTGGCAAATTTCGCCAGCACTAAAGTGTTGAATATTCCTTTATCAGTCAACCCTGGGCTGAGAGGACCGAAACTCAGCCCAGAGGTGGCCTCTTCTGAATGCTTAGTTCTATCACTGTTCGCTCCCTGTCAGCCTGGAGGTAGTAGCTGTTTTTGTCTATTTCTTTGTCCTTTTTCACCCCTTTTAGTAGGTAAACACCTACTACTAATTCATTCTTTACATTAAGAAAAATATGTGATGCTCACAAAGCAAGGGTTTTGTTAACAAGAATAAGTACACATTGTGGTTACAGATGGGGAGTCTGTGAGGAGAAAGGGATCCAGACGGGTCAGTGGAAAGGGTAGAAACAGAAGGAATTTGATGAGCAGAAGCGCAAGGGGTGCATCCTACTGCTGAGATCAAGAGAATCTGGGCTTTGGCATTCAGCTGGAGGTTCCTATAGCAGTCAGACAGTGACAGCTGAGTCAGCAAAAGTCAGTGTTAAAGCTATCCAAGCAGAAGAAATTTGCTTCTGAAGAGGTGGAGGATGGCAGGAGGAGGAATCTCAGGTTTTCTAAAAGTCCTTTTAACGTGATTGAGCTCAACCCTATCACTACACAGATCAGGCAACCTAAACCCAGAGACGTCCTACCTGGCTGTCCTCACTCTCTCCGGGGTGCCATTCACCGGGGTGTTCTCCTTCAGGACAATGTAACATAATTGTCCATGGAAGAGTAGCTGGGTGAGAGTGGATGATGCTACTCCATCTTGGGAAGTTTAGCTAGGTCTGAAACTGTAAACGCTCCAAGATCAATACATATTTTTCTTCTGGGGTTGGAGGTGTGCTAGATGCTTTTTATTTTCCACTCTAACTCTCCTTATATTGCAATATAATATTACAAGCTAGTTGCCCCAAGTCCCAAAGTGGGTAATACACAAATTTAAGTACATTTATAACTAACAACAGTAAAAATACTGGAGGCAGGGAAAATTATTTTCAATATTGCATTTATTCAAAAGGACATAAATATGTTCTGCAATACATAATATAATGTAAACACTATAAAACTTGAATAATAAAACATTGTACTAAGAAATATTGCTCATGAGGATATTTGTGCCCGCCCAAGTCAGAGTCCCTCGTTTACGTCACAGAAGCACGGTGGCAGGGAATCAAAGTCGGCATACAAGCTACACTCGTCACAGCATTGGAGGTTGGGATAAGACCCAGTGGTGATGGCTGTGGCGACCTTGTCCTGGGTGACCATGGCTGGATTATTTTTTAAGGCCAAACAAGCAGGTACCATTGGAGCTCTTAAGAAAAGACATACACACACAAGCATGGGATTAGAATTTTTCTTCTCAGTCCGTTTGTTACAAGTGTCAGGGGGATCTGGGAAGTTCAGAGCTGGACCCAAGCAAACACGTGACACCAGCCTGAAATTAAGGCTCCCTGCCCTGTCCTAAACCCTGTCTAATCCCCTCCTCTCCTAAGATTGCTGGCAGCGCAAGATCAGGTTACAGCAAATAAGGGAGAGTGGACTGCAGGGGCAGGTCACCCAGCTGATCACTGCAGGCCCGCCAAGTGCAGAGCAGGGCAGGGACGGTGCCACAGTCAGCTGTCCCCCGGGTCCCAGGATTTACCTGCCAGCTCCCAGGCTTAACACGCCCAGAACAGGAACATCGCCGCTTCTGACAACCAACCTCTCCCATGTTTGAAGGTTCCTTTCCCCGCAGTTTTATTATCTCTTGTTTGATCTACATCCCCTTGTAAAGTGTCCCCCAGGATCTTCACACAGCTCAGCCTCCCCATAGTCCCACAGGCCCACCTCCCTGACCCCAAGGCCATGGCAGTGAGTGAGAGGACACCCTGAGGGCTCCCCAGCTCAGGCCAGAGGAGACGGATTCAGCCTGTGCTCTGTGTGAACACGAGGCTGCCTCGCCCGCAGTCCCGTCTGCAGCCTGGGGCAGCGGGAGGGCCCAGCCACTGCACTGATTTAACCAGCTGAGGGTCACCTCAGCGAGGTCAAGGGACAGCAGAGCAGCGGTGACACACAGAGCCACCAGCTGAGAACACTCTGCTTATGAGCTCACAGCCCCAAGCCAGAAGGGGAGGAAGCCAAGATTCTATGCACCCACTTTGCCTTTTCAAACCTGCCTGCTGTTCCTGACCTCACACAGGGTGTGGCCACAGGGCAAGGAATGGCCCTGCTCAAGCAGAGAGCCCCAGGAATCCCATTTGAGGGGTGTGCTATTCACTCTTACCCACGTCACTCACTTCAATGCACTGGCTACTTGGACGTAAAGACAGATGACAACACCTATCAGCACGAGCATGGCCACCAGGATACCGCCACCAATGCAGAACATAATTACGGTGTTGACTTTAGATTTATCTAGGCAGAGAAGTGCAGGCAAGCAGTGAATGAAGCTCCCCTCCCCACACAGCCACTTAGCAACTCAATATGCTTCCTCTAGTGGAGGAAGGATGAACCCCAAATCACAGATTTTTATGCATGTAAAACACAAATGAGTCTTCCCAGGGAGACCTAGGATCCTAAGCTGGCCCAGAGATAGGGAACAGGGTTTATTTATGAATGGGACAGGATTGAAATGCAAAACCCAGGGAGAAGGAAGGAAGGAAGGAAAGTGGGAAGAATCTTTTTCTCCCTTTCACCTGCAGTAATGTGCAGCCGTAAATAACAAACAGGCCTCTGCTTGAGCAAATGGTTTTACTCCCAAACATATAGCCTTCCTGAAATATGTTCACTTTCAGAGTTAGAATTAACCCCGCACTGTACATCAGGCTTAAAAATCTCCTGTGGGAATGATTATGGGAATGACTTTTTTAAAATGTTATCTTTGACTATACTAAGAATATACAAATTCATTTTGTAAGTGATATGTGTTTTAGGAAAAAGAGTTTCTAATTCTCCCACTGACAATTGCCATTTTTCCTCTTAAGTCTGCCCAGGAAATCCAATTTGTGTGAATAAGCAATTTGTTTAATCTAACTCCCTGAAACTGGGGAAAAGTGAGCCAGGAGAGAAGGATAAGCAACCCCCTGCTGAAGCATACTTACCAGCACCTAAGTCTTCATAGCTGGATGAATGCCGACAGCACAAAAAAATTACAATTAACATGAACTTTAGGGAACAGTACATCTTATCAGGAATTTCTCAAACCTTTAATTTGAGAAAGAAAAATTCTAATTATTCCTGTTAGGAGTACTTAAGATATAAATTTGAAGAGCTTGCTTTTAGAAGCGCAGTCTCCACCAGAGCTGGCAGAATGGACAGCCACCATCAAGCTCCAACTCTGCCTGTTAGGTGGTGGGCTGTGTGACATCAACTCTTTGGCTACCAACTCTCCTTCATGGGGTTCTGAATTCCATTCCATGTTCAGATATATTTTAGCACCAATGGAACTATGAACGCTCAAATATTATTTTAAATAATTTGATCTCAGTTTCTCCTTTTCAGGTTTTATTTCCCTCAGAGAACCTTTTAAGGTTTGATTGCTAATCAAAAGCAAATTTGAGATCTCAATAAAATAAAAGGATAGTAATGTGGGGGGGGCTAATATCTAAAAAAAATAATGTATCTGAAAGTTCAATCATAGAAGACTGGTTAGACTTCATGTTTTACCTACACGATGAAATAATAACGTAGTTGCAGCCATTTAACAGGATTCAGATATAGGTTCATTGACTTCAGAATATTACCATACTTTATGGTTAAGATAAAGAGATTTCAAAAAGTAATTTGACTAGGATATCTGTTCTAAACCAGGTTTCTATGATTTCAAGGTACTGTCACCCAGCAAAGCTGGTTCAATTAAATGAGGGAATTATTTTAACTACAAAGGATTATCCCTTGCTGCTCTGGCCAAACCCTGGAAGAGGTCATGAACAGCAGGGGAGAAAGTGACAAAAATGATGACATAAAACCTCTGAAAAATTCTGTCCTCTATGAAAGCAATGAAAAATCTGGCAAAAATTTGCCAGAATCAGCCTTTTCAGGCTGGAAATTAACTAAAAGTTTGTAGCAACTCAGAAAACATCTACTCAGTGGTGGCTTCTGCTCCTGGTAAGCTGTGATTCTCTGTATTCACCTGTCTTCACTTTTTGGGGTGGCTATTTGCCATGTGACTGCAATTCTCTGGTTGACCTAAGAAGACTTGTTGATTTTCAGTTTGTTCAGCTTTTTTCTTGTTTTGAGGATAAGAACTCCAAAGATCTTTACATGCTGGAATGGAAACTAGAAGTCTTGTGTTCATTTCTATTCATTCTACTTCTCAGACTGGATAATCTCAATTGACATATCTTCAGGTTCATTTGTTCTTTCTTCTGTCTGCTCAAATCTGATGTTAAGCCTCTCTGGTGAATTTTTTTTTTTCCAGTTATTATACTTTCCAACTCCAGAATTTCTATTTGGTTCTTTTTTAAAAAATAATTTCTATCTCTTTACTGATATTCTCTATTGGAGATATTATTCTCATACTTTCCTAGTTCTTTAAACATGGTTTCCTTTGAACATAGTTAAAATAGCTGATTTAAAGTCTTTGTCTAGTTGGGTCCATGTCTGGGCTTCTTCAGAGAAAGGTTTTATTGATTGTTTCCCTCCCTTCCTTTTTTATGGGCGATACCTTCTTGTTTCTTTGTATGTCTTATAGTCTTTTGTTGAAAACTGGACATTTAAAATAATATAAGATGGCAACTCTGAAGTCAGATTCTCCCTGCTCTCCAAGGTTTGTTGCTGTTACTGCTTGTTATAGTTGTTGTTTGTTTAGTGACTTTTCTCAACTAATTCTGTAGAGTCTGTATTCTTTGTTGTGTGTGGACACTGGAGTCCTACTGATTAGCTTAGTGGTCAGTTAAGGATTGGACAAGATTACCTTAAATGCCTGGAACTAATAAATCTCCCAGTCTTTCATAAGGAGCTCTGTGAGCCTTTTGGGGTATGCCTTCAAGAATTAGCCAAGCAATTAAAAACTCTGTCTTAGACTTTACTTGCTGCTTGGGAAAAGCCACAAGGTCAGCCAGAGGTCAATGCTTAGGGCCATTGCATGTCTTTCTTGAGCATGCTCATAGCCATAGGCATGTATATACCCCTACACATGTGCAAGGCCTTCTAAACTTCCAGGAATATGTCAGCGCTTTTCAAAACCCCTATGGACATCTAATTTACCAGCTTTTCCTTTAAGCTTTTTGGCTAGTGTCTCATTTGCCCCAAATGTTATCTACAACCTCATGCAGCCAGGAAGTTAAAACCATTGCCTATAATTGTTTTTGCCAAATTTCCCTGAGGAGAAGACTTTTTGCACTAAGTCGACTTCAAGTTAAGTTAAATCCAGATAGCTTTGCAAGTGAGGTCTTCCAGGTAACCAGCAGATAGGTCAAATAATGACAATTCTTTTGGAATGAGCCTTTGAAAGAGCTCTACTCTATTCTGTTCCTTCTGATGGCTAAATTGGGATCTGGGCTGTTATTTTCAAGGCTACCATGGAGCTGGAGAGCAAATAATGGAACAGTGCCACAAAGCTTGCTGTTCATACTGAGAGTCAGACACAGCAGTAAACCCTGACCAATATTATTTCATTTATTGATAAAAATATTTTACACATTGCTAATCAGTCATCAACATTAAACTATTGACCTTACTACTTCCAGTGTGTTTTAGTAATATATTTCTGAGTCTCAATGGAGATGACCAGGAGGCAACAGCTAAAACCTCTATTGGGCAGAGGATAAACTGAAGCTCAGAGAGAAGTGATTTCCTTGGGTCACCTAGGAAGTCACTGGCAGGGCAGGAACTAGGGCCTAGTTCTGTGATCTTTCCCTCTAGCCTCCTTCTCCCAGGTCCAATAAACTTCCACTCCCACCCCCCATCCTTTCTGAAACCCTCTGAAATGATGTGTTGTTCTTCATACCAGTGCCCCTTAACTCTATTATCCAGAGGATATGATTGTGGCTCTGAGCTGAGAGATATGCAAAGCATATCTATCACTACTGGGAATGAGCCTGTGAGCTCCCCTTACTTGGCCCAGGTTCCACGTCTGTGCCTCTTCCACAGCTCCTTCCACTCTGCTGCCAGGATTCTCACCTTTACCTTCAGACTCCTGCACAGCCAAGGACTTTGCTGTGGTCCTAGCGACTGCAGTAAGAAGAGTTGGATTTTGCCCCAAAGAGAGATGTTCCTAATTGAAACCCTGTACTCTCCGGTGAATAAAGACTGTAGTGAATAATGTGCAATCAGGTTTTATGGAATGCCCAGGTTAGAGGACAGTTTCTGTGTCTTTGTAAAACCCAAGCTGAAGACATCCATATTTTGAGGAACTCAAGAGAAGGCAACATTTGATAACATTCCAAGAAGCATTTAACAATACTTCTTTGTTTAGTTAGAAGAAACTAAATAAAGAGATAGAAATGATTAAAAAAAGAACTAAACAGAAATTCTGGAGCTGAAAAATACAATGAATTAGAAGACAGGACCTTTGAAATTATCTAGCAAGAGGAGAACAAAGGAAAAAGAATAAAAAAGAGTGAAGAAAACCTATGTGATCTATAGGATACCATCAAAAGAAACAATCTGCAAATTATTGGAGTCCCAGGAGAAGAAGAGAAGGAGAAGGGAGCATAAAGCTTATTTAATGAAATAATGGCTGAGAAATTTCACAAATCTGAGGAGAGATTTGTACATCCAAGTTCATGAAGCTCATAGGTCCCCAAACAAAATCAGAGATCTTCTCCACCACACATTGTAATAAAATTGCCAAAAATCCAGGGAAAAGAGGGAATTTTAAAAGCAGCAAGAGAAAAGAAGCTTGTGACTTACAAGGTAACCCACACAAGGCTATCGGCAGACTTCTCAGCATAAACCTAACAGGCCAGGAGAGAGTGGGATGTTAAATTCAAAGTACTAAAAGAAAAAACACTTGGCAACCAAGAATATCCTATCTAGCAAAGATTTTCCCAGACAAACAAAAGCTGAGGGAGTTTATCACCACTAGACCTGCCTTTACAAGAAATTCTGAAAAGAGTTCTCTCAGCTGAAATGAAGGATGCTAATTAGTAACATGAAAACATATAAAAATATACAACACACTGGTAATGATAAGTATATAATCAGATTCAGAATATTCTAATACTGTAATACAGTGATGTGTTAACCACTTAACTCAAGCCTAAAGGTTAAAAGAAAAAAGTATTAAAAATAATCATAGCTAAAACAATTTGTTAATGAGCACACAATATAAAAACAGGTATATTATGACATCAAAAATATAAGAGGAGGGGAATAAAAAGGTAGAGATTTTTTTATGTGATCAAAGTTATCAGTGTATAATAGACAGTTATATCTATAAGATGTTGTATGTAAGCCGCATGGTAACCACAAAGCAAAAACCTACAGTAGGTACATAAAAGATAAAGAGAAGGGATTCAAAGCACACCACTACAGAAAATCATCAGTTCACAAAGGAAGACATCAAGAGAAGAATGAAACATAGGAAGAACAAAACAGCCAGAAAACAATTAATAAGATGGCCTTTAATAAGTCTTTACCTACCAATAATGACTCTAAATGTAAATGGATTAAATTCTTCAATCAAAAGGCATAGAGAGGCTGAATGGATAAAAAAACAAGACCCAACTATATTCTGCCTACAAGAGACTCACCTCAGCTTCAAAGACACACATAGGATCAAAGTGAAGGGATGGAAAAAGATACTCCATGCAAGTGGAAACCAAAAGACACAAGAGTAGACATGCTTGTATCAGACAAAATAGACTTTAACTCAAAAGTTGTAACAAGAGATAAAGAAGGTCATTCTATAATGATATTGGGGTCAATTCATCAAGAGGATATATTAATCATAAATATATGCACTGAAAATGAGAGCACCCAAATATATTAAACAAATACTAACAAATGTGAAGGGAAAAAGATGACAATACAATAGTAGTAGGAGACTTCAATACCCACTTTCAACAATAGATGGGTCATCCAGACAGAAAATCAATAAGGAGATGCTGGACTTGAACTATACTTTAGGCCAATGGGCCTACAGACATACATAGAAGTTCCAGTGAATGGCAGCAGAATACACATTCTTCTCAAGTGCACATGGAGCATTCTCCAGGATGGATCATATTTTAGGTCACAAAATAAATATTAGCAAATTTAAGAAGATGAAATCATACCAAGTATCTTTTCCAACCACAGTGGTATGAAACCAGAAATCAGTAAGAGGCAGAAAACTGGAAAATTCACAAATATGTGTAAATTAAACAATACACTCCTAAACAACCAACAGGTCTTAGAAGAAACCAAAAGGGCATTTTTAAAAAACATGAAACAAATGAAAATAAAAACATAACATACCAAAACTTATGGAATGCAGCAAAAGCATTTCTAAGAGAGAAATTTATAGCAATAAATGCCTACCTTAAGAAAAAAGAAAGATCTCAAAAGAATAACTTAACTTTACACCTCAAGGAACTAGAAGAGAAGAACAAACTAAGGCCAAAGGTAGAGGAAGGAAGGAAATAATAAAGAGTGGAGAGGAAATAAATAAGAGACCAGGAAAAGATCAGTGAAACTAACAGTTGGTTTTTTTGAAAAGACAAACAAAATTGACAAAACTTTAGCTAGACTAACTAAAAAAGAGAAGACTCAAGTAAATAAAATAAAAAATGAAAGGAGACATTTACAAATGATACCACAGAAATACAAAGGATCACAGAGAACACTGTAAACAATTATACACCAACAAATTGGATAACCTGGAAAAAATGGATAAATTCCTAGAAACACACACTTACCAAGTCTGAATCTTGAAGAAATAGAAAATCTGAACAGACCAATATTGACTAAGGAGATGAACTTAGTAATCAAAAACCTCCCAACAAACTAAAGCCCAGGACCAGATGCTTTTACAGGTGAATTCTACAAAACATTTAAAGAAAGATAATGCCAATCCTTCTCAAAGTCTTCCAAAACATTGAAGAGGAGGGAATACTCCCAAACTCATGTTATGAGGCCAGCATTACCCTGATACCAAAGCCAGACAACAACACTCCAAGGAAAGAAAGAAATAGGCCAGTATTCCTAATGAATATAGATTCAAAAATTTCAAAGAAAATATTAGCAAACTGAATTCAACAGCACATTAAAAGAATCATAGACCATGATCAAGTGGAATTTATCCCTGTGATGCAAGGATGGTTCAACATACACGAATCAATGTGATAAATCACACTAACAGAATAAAGGGTAAAAAACATATGATCATCCTAATAAATGCAGAAAAAGCATTTGACAAAATTCAACATCAATTCATGATAAAAAATACTCTTCAAAAATTGGGTACAGAAGGAAATTACCTCAACATAATAAAGGCTATATATGACAGGCCCACAGCAAACATCGTACTCAATTGTGAAAAGCTAAAAGCTTTTCCTCTAAGATGAGAAACAAGACAAGGATGCCCACTCTCACCACTGCTATTCAACATAGTGCTAGAAGTCCTAACCAGAGCAATTAACCAAAAAAGAAGGAAAAGGCATCCAGATCAGAAACAAAGAAGTAAAATTGTCTCTGTTTGCAGATGATGTGATCTTATACATATAAAATCCTAAAGACTTCCCCTGTTAGAACTAATAAACAAATTCAGTAAAGTTGCAGGATACAAAATCTACATGCAGAAATCAGTTGCATTTCTATACACTAACAACAAATTATCAGAAAGAGGGATTAAGAAAATAATCCTATTTACAATAGCATAAAAAGAATAAAATACTTAGCAATAAATTCAACCAAGGAAGTGAAATATCTGTATAACAAAATCTATAAGACTTTGATGAAAAAAAGTGAAGAAGATACAAACAAATGTAAAGATGGCCTGTGTTCTTGGATACGAAGGATTAATATTGTTAAAATATCCATCCTACCTTAAGTGATAGACAGATTCCATGTAATCTCTATCAAAATTCCAAGGGTATTTCACATAGAAACAGAAAAAAACAATCCTAAAATTCATTTGGAACTATCTTTTGCGTGAATAGCCAAAGCAATCCTGAGAAAGAAGAACAAAACTTGAGGCATTACACTTCCTGATTTCAAACTATGTTATAAAGCTATAGTATCAAAACACTATGGTATTGCCATAAAAATAGACACACAGACCAATGAACAGAATCAAAAGCCCAGAAATAAACACTCACACATATGGTTAACTAATATTTGACAAGGGAGCCAAGAATATACAATGGGGAAAGGATAGTCTCTTCAATAAACAGTGTTGGGAAAGCTGGATAATCACATGCAAAAGACTGAAAGTGGATCCTCTCTCATACCACTCACAAAATTTAACTTGAAACAGACTAGACTTAAACATAAGACTTGAAACCATAAAACTCCTAGAAGAAAACACAAGATAAAAGCTCTTTGATGCTGTTTTTGGCAACAAATTTTTGGATATGACATCAAAAGTTCAAGCAATAGAAACAGAAATAAACACGTGGAACTGCCTTAAACTAAAGAGCTTCTGCACAACAAAAGAAAGACTCAACAAAATGAAAAGGCGACCTATGGAATGGGAGAAAATATTTGCAAACCATCTATCTGATGAGGGGTTAATATCCAAAATATATAAGGAACTCATACAATTCAGTAGCAATAAATAAATAATCCAATTAAAAGGCATAGGACCTGAATAGATGTTTTTCCAAAGAAGATACACAAATAGCCAATAGGTACATGAGAAGACACCCAACATTACTAAATGTCAAGGAAATGTAAATTGAAACCACAATGAGATATCACATCACACCTGTTAGAATGACTATCACCAAAAAGACAAGAGATAAGAAGTGTTGGTGCAGATGTGGAGAAAAGGGAATCCTTGTGCACTGTTGGTGGAAATTGGTAAAACCACTATGGAAAATAGGATGGAGGTTCTTAAAAAAATTAAAAATAGAACTACCATATCATCCAGCAATCCCACTTCTGGGTATATATCTAAAGGAAATGAAATCAGGATCTCAAAGAGATATCTGCACTCCCATGTTCATTGTAGCAATAATCACAATAGCCAAGATATGGAAACAACTGAGTGTCCATCTACGGATGAATAAAGAAAATGTGGTGTGTGTGTGTATATATATACAATGGAATATTATTTAGCCACGAGAAAGAAGGAAATCCTGCCATTTTACACAACACAGGTGGACCTTGAGGGCATTATGCTAAATGAAATGTCAGACAGAGAAAGACAAATACTATATGATCTTACTTATATGTGGAAGCTAAAAAAGGTAAACTCATAGAAATAGAGAGTAGAATGTTGGTTGCCAGGTGCTGGCGGGGGTGAGGAAAATGGGGAGATGTTGGTTAAAAGGTACAAACTCCCAGTTATAGTATGAATAAGTTCTAGGGATCCAATGTACAGCATGGTGACTATAGTTAACAATACTGTATTACACACTAGAAAGTTCCCAAGAGAGTGATCTTAAATGTTCTGAGCACAAAAAAATAAAAAGGTAATTATGTGAAGTGACATAAGTATTAACTAACCTTATTGTGGTAATCGTTTCATATAGACATGAGTATCAAATCACCACATTGCCTATCTTAAACATACACAATGTTATATATCAATTATATCTCAATAAAGCTGGAAAAAAATTTAAAAATAAAAAAATTGGTGAAACTAAGTGAAGGGTATATGGATTCATTGGGCTTCTCTTGGATTTTTTTCTACAAGTTTGAAATTTTTAAAAATGAGGAATAATTATTCTTAAGATTTCTTTTTTTTAAAATCCCATATCCATGATTATTGATTTACATATGTTTTTGAAGTGTCATGTAATGTCAGAAATTTGAATAGGAGTAGATGGGGAGGGAGAAAATACCTCAGTAAAAAGCTTTAACCATGTTAGGACCTGTCTCAGACCTCACAGAATGTTTTCCCAGATAAAATCAAAAAAGTATCATGACTTTAGAAGTCATGTTAAATATATCAAGAAGGTTTATTGAAAACAATTTTTAACTATGAGTTTCTCCAGGA